AAGGCAGCCAGCGAGAGCAGCGACAAAGAGAAGACGTACGAGCTTCCGGATGGCAACATCATCACCGTGGGCGCCGAGCGCTTCCGCTGCCCAGAGGCGGGGAAAGTCCTGCCGATTGGGCTGGCACGGTTTGATTCGCAGCCTGCCTTGTATTGACGCGGCATCATTTTGTTTCTGTACATGCAAACTTGCTCAACATTCGTGGCAGGTCCTTTTCCAGCCCAGCTTCGTGGGAAAGGAGGCCAGCGGCATCCATGACACCACCTTCCAGTCCATCATGAAGTGCGACGTGGACATCCGAAAGGACCTCTACTCCAACGTGGTGCTGTCGGGTGGCACCACCATGTTCCAGGGCATCGGTGAACGCATGACCAAGGAGCTGACTGCCCTGGCGCCTTCCACCATGAAGATCAAGGTGGTGGCCCCACCGGAACGTAAGTACAGCGTGTGGATTGGAGGCTCGATCCTGTCCTCCCTGAGCACCTTCCAGCAGATGTGGATCTCCAAGGGCGAGTACGATGAGAGCGGCCCGACCATCGTGCACCGCAAGTGCTTCTGAGCTGAGGGGAGTAAGTACAATAATTCCGATTGCCACGCTGGAGGCGGGTCCATGTCGAAGGGGGTGAAGCCCTCATGTTCACGGTGCCCTCTTTCTGGTCTTAGATTCTGTTAGATGCCAATCCTGCTTTGCATCGACGTCAAGGGGACGCGTCAAACGAGATTGCTTCGGATTTGTCGAAAAAACATTCCTGCCTGACCTCGGAGCATGGGCTTGACTACCCACATGTAAAAATCGCGTGCGCGTGATACATAGAAAGCAATCCCCAAGTTGTAAACCTTTAATCCTAAAGCCCTAAACCTTCAAATGCTAAGCCGCTAAACCCTAAAAGCCCTTGAAGCCTTAAGCCCTAAAAGCCCTAAAGCCCTAAACCCCCTATAAACCCTTATAAACCCCTATAAACCCCTATGAACCCCTAAAGCCCTAAGCCCTGAATTCCTAAGGCCCTGTGCCCAAAGATTCTGAGAGCCCCCCCGCAGGTCCCCAACAGCCGGCTTGATGGCATCTCCGCCCCTTCGATCAGTTGGGGGTTTATAGGGTTTAGGGTTTAGGGTTTAGGGTTTAGGGTGTTTGGGGTTTTTGGGGTTTTGGGGGCTTTTTGGGGTTAGGGTTTTCGGGGTGTTGGAGGGTGTGGCGGCTTAGGGACTTAGCCCTCAGGGGTTTTGGGGGGGGTTTTGGGAGTTGTCGGTGCTTTCAGGATTTGGGGGTGTGGTTTAGAGGCTTTCGGGAGTGGTTTGGTTTAGGGTTTGGGTTTTTTTTTTTGGATGTACTGTTTGGGGGTTTAGGGTTGGAACCCTTTGGAGGCTTTGGGGCTAAGGTCCAGGCTTGCCCGGGGGTTCAAGATGAGAGTTTCAGCCAGGGATTGGAGTTAGGGTCAGGGCGTCATGTGCAGGATCACGTTTTAGGATGTGTATGGTATCAATTCGTGATTTAGTGTGCGTAAACTCTTTGGTTTAGGTGTCAGGGACGTGGTTCATGAGCTGTCGTGACGGTGTTGAGATGAGGGCACTGACTGACTGCTAAACTCTCTAAACCTCATCCCCAAGCCCTGAACCCTCAACCCTAAGCCCTAAACACTAAAGCCTTGAACCCCAAAGCCCACCTTAACCTACCAACACCTATTTTCTTGTAGGTTCTTCTTATGAGCCCTAATCTGGAATTTATAGGACCCCTACAAAAAAGTAGGTTCTGGTGGGGTAAGGTAAGTCCCAAACCCTCAACCCTAAACCCTAAACCCTAAACTGCCCTAAACCCCGTTTTTAGACTGGTGGTCAGGTCTCCGTGGTTTAGTTTAGGTTCGAAAGGCTCTGCTTCAGGCCTGCTCCTTGGAATCAGGTAGAGGGTCTTGGGGTCTTAGGGTTTAGGGTTTTAGGATTTGGGGTTTGGGGTTTAGGGTTTAGGGTTTTAGGGTTTAGGGTTTAGGGTTTAGGGCTTGGGGTTTGGGGTTTGGGGGTTCTGCCTATAGCTGCAAATAGGGGTGTAGGGTCCCTCTAGGGGTCGAGTAGAGGGTAGCAGGAGGGTCTAGGTGCGCAAGTGTTTTGGAGTTTATGGCTCAAGGCTCCATAAACCCGAAACCCCAATCCGAAACCCCTAAACCCTAAACCCTAAACTCTAAATCAATGCCCGCTTGAAGAGACGATTGGACTATCCAACCCACTCCTTGAAAAGTGCCCTATTGGGGGTGTTAAGCTTTGGCAAAACCCGGGCAACACCCATAGCATCTCTAAACTTTCGTTTCGTGGTGGTAGTAGGTTAGGGCTTCGGGCTAGGGGTTTAGTTGGGATTGCGAATGGGGATGCATACACATGAGCTGCCTCCCTTGGATCTCACAGGACCTCGAGACTCGCGCAATGGCCCCAAGACACCCTAAACCCCCAAACCGTAGACCCTAACCCCAAAACCCTTAAACCCCAAAACCCTAAACCTTACTTTAAGCTATTTAGGGTTAAGAGCTTCGAGTTTAGAGCCTAAGCTGGATCGTCCCACAACCGGCTTGTTCAGGATGGCTGTCTGAATATTGAAGTGCGTCCAGTGAAGAAGAAGCGTCTACGAGTTTAACCTTGTATGATACCACATAAAGCCTAAGCCATTACACCCAAACCTACAGCCCTTAAGGCTAAGGCCTAAACCCTTAAACAAGCCCACACGCTAAGCCCTCATACTGTACTTAAAGGATCATGGGACTTCCTAAGTAGGGTTATAATTATAAGGTAACTACACTTATATTTACTTATAACCCCAATTAAGGGACCTATAACCTTACTTGCTAAGTCCCATGATCCTCCAAGTAGCCGGAAACCTCAGCCCGAAACTGACATTGAATGCTTGCAAATGCCAAGGACACCAGGCTTGTTTACGAGGCGGCAGAGCTTCTGGACATCGGTCGGGCCCTTGTGTGCAAAGCCACCCTGTTGAACTCGCTAAACCCTACACCCTAAACGGGTTTGACCCTAAGCCTCTGAACCCTAAGCCCGAAACATGTACCAACCGCCCTCAAGCATCTGAGTCCTTGTATGAATGCTGGCACACAGCCCTGCAGTCGAACCCAGCCCGTCTCCCCATAACCCCAAGCCGCAAGAGGGTCTATCAGGGCGCAGGTCAACGAAGAACCCAGCAGGCCCAGTTTAGGGGTTTTGGGGGTTTGGGTTTTGGGTTTAGGGGGTTTAGTCGTTTATTGTGGCTTTTGGGTATATATTTATAGTAGTAATTCAGCCTAGCATGTTTCAGGAATTCTGTCGTAAAGCCACGAGAGTCCCTCAGAGTTCAGCTGAACAAAGGCTTTAGACCCTAACCCTGAACCCTCAACCCTAAGCCCTATGCATAGTACAAGCAAGGTTGCGGCATGTTGACCCGACGATCTCGAAAAAGTTGGAAAACACATCTTTCTGTGTCTGTGTAGGCTCGCTGCATGTTCTAATGCTATATTCGGTCTTGTATTCAGGCTATTACCCCCCTAGACGCTAAACCCTTAACTCCAAATCCCTTAAAACAGATTCTGCACGGTTTTTAGTAGATGTTGCCGTTGCTAAGGGCCGCAATCCGGTTTTGCACAGGTTTTTGGTAGGGTTTAGGCTTTAGGAACGACGGTCATCGAGGTTTTGCAGGTCTCGGCTAGGGTTCCCAAAACCGCAAAATCCGAACACCCCGTGAAATCTTTAGGCTAGGTTGTTTTTTGGGTTTAGGGATTCAGTCTTGGGATGGTCCGCAAGCACTTCGAAGTCACTCTTTTCCCCCAGGCGCTGAGAAGGAACTTCCGCAGGGCCCTGAGACTGTCGGATTGGGGAATGTAGGGGTTTAGGGTTTCTAAATTACCGTAGGGGTTAGGGTGTATGGGTTGAAGGGTTTACAATAGGACCAAGGAGAACAATAATAATCATACTGGTAGTGTTAGTAACCATAATTAGTATAACAGTAGTAAATAGGGATGGGGCATGGGGTTTTTGTCACGGAGCAGGGGACCGAGGAAGCCGCATGGAAGGAAGCGTAGGTTGTCCTTGTGCCCCCAACTAAGGTACTCAACAACCACCAAACCTCTCCTGTAGGGAATCGTTATTCAAGCCTTGACAGAAGGGGGGTCTTATTACTCCGGGTCCTCCTAAGGCTCTGCCCCAAAGTGCTAGAACCACTTTTTCACTAGCGTCCTTACAGCTCTTATACTGTAGGGCTTAAGGACGCAGGTCTTGGTATGTTAGACTACCCGCCCGACAGGCTTGAGCCTCGCGCTTTATTATACGCCGTATGGCCGCAGAGTGTGCAGTTGCAACACACTGAAGAGCGCTTGACGAACTTACAGAACCCAGCACCCCAAACCTTCAACCCCAAACGCCTACAACTTTACTCTCCGACACCCCAAATCCCTAAAACCCTCGAGCCCCCTCTAAACTTCCCCTATTTTTCAGCAGCAAAAAAACCTCCAAGGCCCATTATTGGAGATCCCCTAAACCCTAAACCCTCCACCTATTTTTCAGCAGCGAAAAAACCTCCAAGGCCCATTATTGGAGGTCGCTCCCTGGCGGTTTTGGTGCGCTATGCAGAGAAAACGCGCCTTGTTCCGATATTTTGATGCTTTGGGCTTCGGGTTTTAGATTTCAGATCATAGGGTCTATTACAGGGTTCAGGGATTCAGGCTGGGAGTTGTGGATTTACGGTTTTGGGGTGCTGTCGGGGTTTAAAGGGTTCTTTAAATCTAAACGGTCGTGGGTTTGGACTCCTCTGTAACCGGCTGAGGCCCGTATTGCGTGAGGCGCAGCCGAATCATCTCCGTCCCTGATTACTGGGAGGCTTTTTCTGTAGGGGCCTTCATAATTGGAATAGGATTTGGGTTCCTTTATAGTACTCTTGTAATGGTCAGCGGCACTCTCGGCAGTTTACGGGAGATCCCTAAACCCTAAACGCTAAACACTAAACACTAGGCCCTACACCCTAAACCCTAAACCCTAAACCCTAAGCCCTACACTACAGTGACACTTTGCATGGGGTTTTAGATCATGCCTCTTCGTCGGACCCTAGACCTTAAACCCTCGTCGGACCCAAAACCTTAAGCCCTATATTCGGGGTTTAGGGGTTCAAGGGTTTGGGGTCTCGGGCTTCTGGGTTTCAGGGCTCAGGGTGGTAACGGGCTGTGGGATTTGGTGCGCAAGGCTCGAGATTGCGGAGACCTGCAAATAATATGGTGGCCGGCAAATGTGCCAACGGTGTTCCTTAGTGCTCCGGGGTACAAGTATGCACAACGATACCCCAAAATCCTCTTCTATCAAAAGAGGCCCCTAAATGGCATGATCCTGTAAGCTAGTCTTCGGTCCTGCATCAGGCGACTACCCTACGAAGTATCATGCCGATTTCTGTGGACCCCTAAACACTAAACCCTAAGCCTGCGCCCGAGGCCCTGCCCTTACACCCTCTCGACCCAGAACCAAAGCTTGGCTCCGAAGACCATGTGTTTCAGACCTCAGTGCACCCCCAGGCTGAAGCGAATGCTTGCCTACGGCTGAGGCAGCATGTGCCGGGCGTAAATCTCGGGGTTTTCGGGGGTTCGAAATCCATAGGGGCAGGGGAATGGTGGGATCGTTAATTTACGGATCACCCAGATTTCCCCAAACAGTCCCACACTTACACAACTACTTATGGCTCCCCAACCGAGATTGATACAAGTCTATATCATTTTCCAAGAACTCCTCTGGCGGTCAATCTTGAACATGTGAGGCTTATCCCTTGGGTCCCCAACTATGAAAAAGGCATTTAACTCACCCTAGTTCAACTCTTCCACGTCTAAATCGCGAACTCCCCATGCGTATTATGCCCTGTATACACGTCATGCCGCACACCTACGTAGTGACAGAAGACTTGAATCCAAGAGCTGTCGCAGTGAGGTTTAAGGGCCAAGAGAAAATGGTTTAGTGCATTCGGGCGCTATGGTGTAGGGTTTAAGGTTTGGGGCCTAAGTGCCTCAGGGCGTTACGTCTTCAGGGTTTAGGCTTTAGGATTTACCTGGACGCTGAAACTAGGCAGG